ACAGCCATCTCAGCTCATACCATTGGTGGAGATGTGGGGGAGGTAGGCAGAGGGACTCACACTTCAGGGAAGGGGAGGCTGAACCAGAAGTTCTCCCAGATCCCTTTCAAAGCAGCACTTTTGTCACCTTATGAGACCTAAATCAATGTAATATGAAGCCTAAAAGTCAGTTGCAGTATCTGTGTGGTCAATGTAGTTGTTAGATAATGTTTTCTACTAAAAATATAATCAGGGCTATGGTATAGCTCAGTGGTAGAGCAGTAGCCTAGCATGCACAAGACCTGGGTTTGGTCCCCAGCACTGCAAAATAAACAAACAAATAAGAATTTTACTTGAAACTGGGCATGATGGCACACAACTGTAATCTCAACACTAGGAGGCTGAGGCAGGAGAATTTAAAGTTCGATCCTGGGCTAGGCATCTTAGTAAGAGCCAGTCTCAAAATTTAAAAAAAAAAAAATTCTTAAAGGGCTACAGATGTAACTCAGTGGAAAGACCCTGGTTTCAATCACTACTGAAAAAAAAAAAGCCAGGCACAGTGGCACATGCCTGTAATCCCAGCACTCAGGAGGCTGAGGCTGGAAAATAACTGAGTTTGAGGCCAGGCTGGGCTGCATAGTAAGTTCACAGCCAGCCTAAACCGCATAGTGAGACCCTGTCTGCCAAAAAGAAAAAGTATGTATCAGCTTTGCCTTTTTATAAGTCATATTGCCGAGGGAAGTACATTCACAGTGTTATTATTGTTTTAATGATATTTGGGTGTCTTATTTGTGTTTTAATGTGACTACATCTCAGTGTATCCAGTTTGACATGTTTTTTCTTGGAAAAAAAATAATAAAGTCACCAAAGTACCTTCACCCAGTCATTCACATCAAAGGCATGAATGGGTTTTCTGAAGTTTTTCAGTAGACAGTGAAATTCATTACTTTGTGACTTCAGTTCTCCAGGTGTTACAGCCCAAACCTTTACATGCTGTTCTGTTTACAGAGGTGCTAAACACTGTGTCTTGGCCCTGATCTCTAAGAGGGGGAACATCCTTTGCTAGAAGTGTTCATCCACCACTTTTCCTCCCATTTGTACAGAATATAGGAAACAGAAAGGAGACAACATTAAATTGGCCATTTTACAGACCCGAGAGAAAACAACATATTTATTTTGACTTTTCCACTTTCAATGATTAGTGTTGTCACCATTTAAATTTTCAGTTCACTCTTTTTGCCATTGATATTTGCAGAAACTTGACTTAGAATGTGTATTAGCTATATCATATGATGGGTTCTCAATTTGTTTCATACCATCAAAAAGACAAACTGAGCCTGAAGCTCCTCTCAGATACTCTTAAAATATAACCCCAAAGAAATGCTTGAGATTGCAGAGATTTCAATTACACCCTTCAAAAATATAGGCCCTGAAATCAAGGAGCAAAAGCCTCAATTTTAGGCTTTGCCACTTCCCACTTCCCTCAGTCTCTCCAAGGCTCATTTGTTGCCTAGTACTCAGGGGTAGTAACAGAACCTGCTGCTTCACAGGAGGATTATGTAAAAAAGAGCATTACATGAAATCCTTACCACAGTGTCTACCGTAAGTACTTCATAAGTATTAGCTATTATTATTTTTATAGTATTTATGATGACTTCACCAAAACTTCAGTTTATGATGCTCTTGTCAGAGTTTATGGCATCATGGCTGACTCATTTCCTAACATAACTGAAAAATAGGTTTCAGCAGTATATAATATTCAGTCTTAGTTAATGAACTTAAACAGCCAATCTTGAGACAATAATGAGGAATATTTAACCCAGAACTTAAACATACGTTCTGTTCAGTAGCAAGTTTTTAATATTTTAGGAAGAAATACTGTAAATCTTTAGTAGAGCTGCAAAGGACTACTCTGTGTTGATGACTATGTGTTTAAAGCATTCAGGCAGAGAAACTTGATCTACTTGCCCAGATGAGGTTGTCCCTAAGAATTACTTGTCAACTTGAGACAAAAATCATATGACAGCAAATCACTGCATATATGTCATAAGCAGAACTCTGTAGAAAATTATACCGGTAGCTGAGATCTGCTTCCCAGTGGCCAATGATACATGGGTTCACCTTTTGTCACTAGAATGAAACACTTGACATTCACAATTTAAAGGAGGAGAGGTTTATTTGGCTCATGATTGCAGAGGGTTCCATCCATAGTCAGCTGGCTCCAGAGCAAGGAACATCATGGCAGAAGAGTATGGTGGAGCAAGCTTCTCACTTCATGCCTAGCAGGAAACAGATCACGGGGAACTGCACTAGCAAGAGATATACCCTCTAAAGGCATAGCTCAGTAACCTACCTCTTCAACTGGATCTTACCTCCTAATAACACATTCAGCTGTGTATATGAGGGAATTAATTCAGTAATGAGTATAACATCTCCACAGTCCAATCACCTCTTTAAAGGTCTTAATCCAGTCATGCTGACAATTAAGACAACTGGCACAAATGGTATAATGGAGTAGGTTTTGAATTTAGAGTTGAATGAAGCCGACCCAAGTCCAGGACTTGCTGTTTATTTACCATATCACCTTGGGTTTGATTGCTTGGCTTTTCTGAACCCCAGTTTCTTCATGTATAAAATGGGGCTGGTGTGTGACCTAATTCCCTCAATAGAAGAGGGTCCAATTTTAAAATATATGTGAAAGTACAAGATACCACTAATAGTACTGGTATTATTACTAATACTATTACCATTTCATTATTACTAATACTATTTCCATTTCATTATTACAAAGAAACATGAAATGGAAAGATATGAGTCCCCATGTACAATATGCACCATCATTTCCTCCAGTACAAACAAATATCCTCAGAGTGGTGACAGCATTCAACCTTCTTCCTGGGTGAAAAGTTTCACACTATGACAGATATTGTGCTCGTTTTTCACACGTGTTATTATTGCTATTGATATTCCATAAGTAACATTAATACAGATGTCTCTTTTATCTGATTTTAAGTGATTTGATAAAGCTCATTAGCTTATAAACCAAATTAATTCTATTTGTCACATGCTACATTATTTGCCAGCTCATTCTACACTTATTGTTTTAGTTGCGCCAATAGTTTGCTATTGTTGATAACATCAAGCCCAAGCTCCTCCTCCTGTCCCTGGGAGGCCTTTGGTAATCTGGTCTCTGAGCCTCCACTTCATGCTTTTTCCTACCCTCCTGCACTTCTCATAGCTTTCTGAGCCCCTGTCTTCTTGGAAGGTCCCTTCCCTCTCTCTGCTGAAGTAGTTTCTGGTAAATTCTTCAACTTGTTCATATCTTCTCCTCATGATCTCACAAAGTGAAATCGTCACCTCCTTTCCACGCTACTTTTCCCTCGCCAGTGTATTTAATGCCACCTATCACTGTGTATTGAACTTTGTTCACAGGTCAGCATCCCCTGTTAGGCTATAAGCTATTCAAGCATGAGCACCATGTTGGATTCACCTTTGAATATCCAGTGAGAAACACAGTGCCTTGCATTTAAGTGGATGTTTGATACATGTTTAAACAAATTGTCTTAGAATTGGATGGCTGCTACATACATTCAAACAGCTAGATGGTTTCGGTTTCACATTGCCTTGTAAAGTTTGGATTTCCTGCTAAAGTGAATGTATTCCAAGTCATTGAAGGATGGCTTTCTAAGTTAAAAATTATTTTGTCATTCGGCACCTAGCTTTCCGAAATGTGCCAATGAGAACCTATTTAATGTACGCAATGGAGTTTATAAGTTAAATACATACTTTAATAAATAGATTTAAAAGTATGGGCCTTAAATTGTAGTAAAATTTGCTTAATAAAGAAGCATTCATTCTAATAAAACAAGTCTGTATGTGGATTGTCAAATGTATGTATCCCCAAAAAAGTCAGTTTCACAGTTCATGTCAGGTAAACCATTGCCTCTCGTACCATATCCAGAACAATTTAATTACTGAAATAACATATAAATACCAAAAGGACTGTTTTTCTTAAAGTAATGAAGTGATCCCAGACCTGGTTCAGTCTCAGTCTCTCTCTCTCTCTCTCTGTCACATACACGCACACACACACACACACACGCACACACACACACACACACAGCTTCAGATTCTGAAATTGTAAAGTTCCAAGTAGAATGCATTAATAAAAATAAGAAATGCTTTTTCTTGTATAAATCCTATTGAAGTGTTGGTAGATAAAGGAAGAACTAAGAGGGGCGAATAATCATCTGCTGCTCTAAAACTGAAACCTGTCATGTTAATTCCCAACTCAAACACTTAGTTTTAAAGATTTACCTTCAAGAAACCTAAAAGCTTGTATTCTGCCTCACTGGCAACAGCCTCAAACTGTTCCCTGTCATCGAAGAAAACAAATCTTTTGCTCATTTCTGCCTGGGGGAGGCAGAGGGACTGAGGTAGTCCTGTGTGGCTGAATTAGATGAAAGACTTGCCTTCCACCATGGAGACATGGAGTCTAATCAAGTGAAATGAGTTTTGAGATCCTGGCTCATTTCCTGGGGGAGATCAGTTCACATTACAAAATCATGACATCTCATTCATCACAGCTGACGTGGTCTTTGCTCAGGAGAGGACCCCAACTGGGACTGAACCACCTGTCTTCTCTTGAAAGGGGGCACTTTATCCAAGTTAGAGTTGAACACCTTGGAGTGGGAAAGCTTGCCAGTCACCAACTTCCATGCGTGTGACACAAGTACAGTGTGAAGAGGAACTTAGGTTTAAAAGAGGAAAGACAGACGAGTCTAAAGAAAACTGGTGGTTATATTTTTAATGACACTAAACACAAATAATCGAAACTGAGCTGCTAACTCATGACGGTAGGAGAGTCAAGACTGAAGCTCTGTCTTCTTTATCGCCTATATTTTATTAAACAGGAGTAAGAAGGAGAGCATTTCCAAGTATCAGAGTTTAAAATGGCAAAGAAAGTATCCTGCTTTCCAGGCTGATAAGTAATCATTATCTCTGTTTTTGGTTTTTTTCAGGGCATCGTTATAACACCTCTGCTATTGCTGCTTTTTGTAAGTATTTTGATGTTGTCTCTAATATATTTTATTAAAAACCACCTACAACCCTTCGAGGAAGGTCATAGAATAAAACAGAAACTTGAATTCTTTTGTGCCACTTTTGCAACATCCTTCCATTGGGGCCACGGAGACACCCCATAATTCTGGAATCCCAGGACGTCATCAGTTTCCAGCTATACGAGCTCCAACTCCTGGCTAAATCATTAATTACTACAACTTGATGGCTGTGACATGGCTCACAAATGTGCTCTTTATTTTCTCATTAGTAAAAACTAGTATGATTAATAGTGAACCAGTGACCCAAGAAAGAACTTGGACTGGGGATCAGAGGAAGCTTGGGTTCTGAGGCTGGTAATGATAATAACTAGCTTCCTCGCTGTGGGGAAGACTGCCTCAATTTTCTCTTATGTAGAATGGGCAGTACCAACAACTACCCCAGTCTGACCCCCAAGGACAATGAAGTGTGCATTAGAAATAAAAAACTCTTAAGTTGATACAAGCCACTGCTTCACACTACAAAAATTGTTCAGAAAACAAGAAATGCTAATTAACTGTCTTATTTCCTTTGGCGCTAAGCATATGAGAAATTAGATGGAAGATTATAATAGGAATTAATGTTATCTCATGCTGAGCAAAGCATATGTAATCATGAATGATACCTAAAATATTTTATGAACTGTGCATTTTTTTCATACATCCATCTTCCAAATATAAATCACTCCACTTATCACTGAAATATAGTGGGAATGCATTTCTGGGAGTGAAATGGAGCTGTTTGACTAGCACTATTTGTCAGTGAATTAAAACTATGGGGAAAATTTATTTAATTATAGTGTAATTACCCAAGTTGGAATTCAATTAAAGTAATAGAGTGAGGGACTTCATTTCTTACCAGCTGTGTAGGAGATAGAGAGGGATAGATATCCTGCTAAACAGTTGGATTCTGAATCTTTCATGAAAGACATTACCTTCAAGTAATAAACTGCAGCCTCACCCCCCTCTTCTAAAATGCTGGCTCCACTCTGACAAGGTAAGGAGAGTCAAAGATCTGATCAGTTCCAGCAGTGGTTGTTCTGTTCTGTTCTGTTTTACCAAGACTTGGGATCCCATGGGCACAGGCACAGACCTGTGGGTCGGTGGGCACAGGGTGCAGGCCAGTGTGAGAGTCACAGGCCTGGCAGAGAGCTCAGCGTCCAGTAGATGCACAGTAAATGGCTGCCTGGCCTCGGTTTTGTCCATTGCGGAAGAAGAAGGCCTTACTCTTGTGACTCACTTAAGAAGAGCAAGGGAGAATGAAACCCAATAGGTAGCAGAGATGTGGGGTAGCACTTCTGAATATTTTAGGCCATGGAATCTCTGGTACCCTATTTTAGCTTGTCAGTAAACAAGAAAATGAGGACTTTTATCCTTCTCCTTCCTGTCTCCATCTCTTCTCAGCTGACTAATGGTACAGCATCACATTAGTGCCAGCCATGGACCCCTGAGTCTGTGAGCTTTAGTTAATTCGACATTTAAAAATAATAGAGCTATGAGATAGTGAACGGGACTTCCCTCAACTTGAAGATGAGCTTTCTTTTTGAGCCAACTGAAGTGCCCTGTCAAGTTCAGTGGCATCAGTACACACCAATACATCCATGTGATATGACTGTAAACACTCACAGTACATGCTTTTTTGGGTCTGTTTAGGTTATCATGCATTTTACACATGTGAGAAACCCCCAAACACACATAGGAGCATTAACCCAGGGCTCCATACATGTTGGATAAACTCTACCACTAAGATACACCAAGCCCTTTCTTTTTAAAAATTTTATTTCCGAGAGAGTGTCTCACTAAGTTACCCAGGCTGGCCTCATACTCACTCACCATCCTCCTGTTCAGCTTCCCAAGTGCTGGGGCTACAATGAGAATTTCTTAAACCCTTGGGTTACCAGGCCTTATTTACTGAGTAAGACAAGAACCCGAGTGACGTAAAATATGAACACATTCCACAAAAGAGGTACTGGTTTTTTTTTTCTCAATAGCCCTATTATAGGTTGGATTATTGCCCCTCAAAAGATATGCTGAAGTCCCAATCTCCAGGACATCAGAAGGGGCCTTATTTGGATATAAGACCATGGTAAATGTAGTTACTTAAGGCAAGGTCATGCTGGAGTAGGGTAGGCCCTTAATTCAACATGATTAGTGTCCTTATAAGACAAGGAGTCAGGGATTAGAGAGCTGCATCTGTAAGGCAAGAAATACCAAGGACTGCTGACAAACTCTGGAATCTAGAAAAGATGAGGAGCAGGAGGGACAACAAATCTGATGATTTCAGTGGGAGAATTGTTCTGCTTGATTTGAGACATTCAACCTTCAGAGCTATGAGACTGTACATTTCTGTTGTTCTAAACTGCCTAGTTGTGGGCTTTGTTACAGAAGCCCAACTTGATGCAACCCATGAGCATGCTATTATCTTATTTTATCATATTTTAAAAATGGAAATTTCTCAATATTCAGGCACAGTTGCTCATAAAGGTGGGTCTTGTTGATGGAGTCACAATTCCCTGTGTTATTAATGTCTCAGTATTTCCATCACATTTGTGTTCCAGTTGAAATCTGTCTTCTAATTTGTTTCTGCTGTAAGCATCTTTCCTGTCACTGAGCCTTGAAATGGGATGAGGTGCCTTCCTTCCACCTCATTACAATTCCAGATCACTTCCATATAAAATCCCCTGCTTCCTTTGAAGGTTATGCCAATACATACGTACTATCTGCTCCCTCTCCTTGTTGTAATTGTCAATAAAACCACAAGTCATTATCAGGCCACAAAAGCGTTAGTATCTTGCCATTGTTTTCTTCTTTGTTGTACTTGGTTTGACACTTGGTGTTTTCAGTATGCACATAGTAGATCCTTCCAGTACCCTGGCTTCTAAATTCTTTTCCTTTTCTCCATCAAGGTTGCCTTCCACTTAATTTTATCCAACTATCCCAATTGTCAGGCACTTGACTTTATTACTATTAATAGCCCAGATCCTATTATTTCATTTATAATTTGGTTTTTTTACATAAACTTTTAACAGTCATGCTTATCTTTTCTGCTTCATATTTGCCTGGCAATGCACCAAGCCTACCAAAATCTAACTTGATTATACCTTCCTACATATATATCTGAACACGCTAGATCAAACACACTACAGCGATAACTGTTCCTGCATGAAATTCATGACAACTGACCATGAGTGAGGCCTGGCCAGCCTACTGTCTTCCCCTAATTTGTTAATCTCCAACTCTAGAGAATCATTTCCCACCTTCTCCTTGTCTCTGGAATCTTTAATGCTTCTCTTCATATCAACTAATGCAGAAAGAAAATAAAATGAGGAAATCTGAAGCAATGAGGGAACTTATGTAAGATACCACCTATCTGAATCTATATTCATATCTTTGCCATATCTCCTGTTTTCCTAGGTAAACTATCTTTTCTCTTAAGACCAGTTCCTCAAGTCCTGCTTGTATTGCCTACTTAAGGATATAATTCACACAGATTTCCCTCCTCCTGCAAAATCAAATTTTCTTTCTCTTCTGGGTCACTTCTATTAGCAACAAACATTCAACAGTATTATACATCTTAAAAATTAAGTCTCACTTTATCCAGCCTGCCCTCTATTTCTGTGCTGTCTTTGTAAAATGTTATTTAAACCTAAACCTATTTACCATTCCTTTGATAATATGTATTGAGTTTTTTCCCTAAAGACCACGCACTGTCCTGGCTGACAGTGATGTAACAATGTACAAAACAGATATGTCTTTAATATCATTAAGGCTAGGTAGTAGTGAAAAGAAACAACCAACAACTAAGTAAAAATACTGATGCGTATTTTTTTTATAGACGTGTAAGATGGGTCACAAGTACTGCAGAGAAAAATAAAATAAGGAACAGGAATAAGAAATGCTAGAGTGAGCTGGAGAAGAATGCTGTTTCCATTAGTGTGGCCACCTTGTGTCTCACTGAGCAAAGATGAGACAAGGGAATGAGTCTTCTGATATCAGAGACATAGCAGGCACCAAGTGGTATAGGACCTTAAAATTCTTTGTGAGGACTTTGAATTTTAATTTGAGAAAGATAGAAATTATTAAATAGGTTATGATCAAGGAATGGTGTTCTGATGTACCTTTAAAAGGATGATTCCAGGTGCTAGTTTTAAAGTAGATTGTAAGGGAATGGTAATAGAGGAAAGAAAAACATTAGAAAGCTAGGGCAATATCAAAGCAAGAGACTATTAGTTTGAATCAGAGTCCCTAAGCAAGTCTAATGAGAAGTAGTTGGAAGTGGAACTTGAGGTTAAAACTGAGAGACTCAGTGAAAGTGACAAGGGAGAGGAGAGTCAGGAAGACTCTGAGCCCGAGCAGCTGGAAGGGTAGACTGGTCATTTTCTAAGATATGGAAGACTGTAGGGCTCAGCAGGTTGAAGGGATCATACTGAACTTGTTCATAATCTTGTTCAATACTGGACATGTTTAGACTGAGCTACCTTTTTGACATCCAGGTAGAGACATCAGGTAGCAATTGATTGTGCGAGTCCAGTTTACAGGAGAAGTTGGAATTAGAGATGCTCATTTGGGAGAGGACAGCATTGAGATGAATTTCAAGTTAGACTGGAATACGGTGATAGTAGAGAAGGAAGATAGCAGGGAACCAAGGTCTTGGGCACTGCAATATCGACATCAGTAAATAAGGCCAAAGCATGACATTTTCCTAAGAAGAACACCGAGACCAGTGTCCCTGAAATCTAGCAGAGAAGGTATTTCAAAAGGTCGAGGATAAAGGAGAGTAATCAACTATTTCAATGCTGCCAAGAGCTCAAATAAAATGAAGCTTGAGAATTGACCATTAGTTTTAACAAGATGGCGGTCAATGGGGACCTTAACGAGAGCTATTTCAGCAGAATTGTGTAGATGAAAGCCTGATTGGAATGGGTTTAAGAAAAATAGAAGGAGAAGGCATTAAAAACAGG